TACTTGTGAAATAGCATCTTCGATCTTATAAACTTTCAATATAAACCTTGGCAATACATCACCTCCATTTATATCCCCCCAGGTGTGCTCACGACGAAAGACATTTCCCTGCTGATTCCGCTTGTATACCCAAATTCTTTTATTTCTGGGGTCGATCAACCAACCGAGTTGCACACCCGAACCAGTTGCAAAAAATACATGTTTAAATCGGTGGTCTAATTCTTCGAACTTCGATCTACCTTCAGTGTCTCCAACCTCGACAACGAACGTGGGAGTGAATGGTTGACCCTGGAAAGTCCAACCCTGTGATTGAGTCAATTGGCGGGATATAGTTTTGGGAGTGAAAGAGACATCGGGTGCCCTGATCGTTCTTTGACCTTCAACATTAAAGTTAAATCCTCCTTGTGCTGTTTTGATGTCACCGTTTTGTCGAGTTTGAATATTCCATCTATCAAGTTGCCCCACAATTGTTGCAACAGTAACCTCCATCCAGTGAGTGGCCTGTGGCATTGGAACAAGCTTTCCCTTCTCGTCAAGTTCGAAAAGATCAACAGGTTGTCCGTTGATTTCCAAAGTATGGTATTTTAATTGTTCATTTAAATATTCAAATTCCTCGAAGGTATATGTATGATTAAGGTCCAAACGGTTAAGATCTATTTTTTGTTCGGCTTTCGACATATTCGAAGTTGAGAATCGAAAAAAATATTAGGAAATGAGCAATTTATGTGATTAGATAATCATATTACACAAAATTTCCTTACTTATATTTTGAAGTATTCCGATGTATTTCAGGACTAGGATAACACCTTTGATGCCAAAATAACTGATGCAATTGATACAAGCAATCATGAGAAGAACGCTGGCGATGGGAAGCAACTAAAATATAATACGAAAGGTAAGAAAGAGGCTATAAGTATTTACATTCTAATAAAGTCGTTTAACGTACTAATATTCCAGTAGTGGATATCGTGATAGTTATGATCCAAGCAATACAGATAGTATAGAACTGTAGATTAATGCTGTATTATATCTAGTATTGATCAAAAAAATGTTAGTCTGTGCAATTGCCAAATTGTAGCAAATTATAATAAAGCATGTACATTTGCTTTTATGTCTTCAT